TTCTTTGGGAGAGCTGTGCAAATCGCCGCCTTCCCGGGCCTCGGCCCCGTCGGCGCGCTCCTCCGGGTGGGAAACGCACTCCGCCGCCTGCGAGCCTGAGCTCCCGCCCTCTTTGTCCTTCAGGTCTATCAGAAACCCGTTGTTTTCACTCTTAAAGCTGTCCACGGTCGAGGTGCTTTTAAGAATATTCCCTTTTTTCCGGTCCAGGGGAAAGGTCTGGTAACACTTTTTAAGATCGGGCGAAGTCTGAACTCCGGTGCTCCGGGTGACGTTGGGTATGGACCGCCGGGCGGGCACCGTCATGTACTTGCGGTACGCCGTTTTGTAGGAGACGGGCTTGGCGTCCCTCCTGTCGGGATCCTGCGCGCCGCACAGCTCCTTGTCCCTCTGCTCGTTCTGCGCCTCGCAGATGTCTTTGAACCTCACCTGGAGAGCTTTGTTCCGTTTCTTGATCTGCCGGTTGGGATCCAGCGCGTATTTCATCTCCAGCGCCAGCGAAGCCGCGGGCTCAACTTCGCTTTCCGAGGCGGTGAGTAGGCATTTGCTGGGCTCTTTACTCACCATGATGCCTGCATTCAAAAACAGGTCAAAAAGCCTCACGTTACAACAGAAATGCCACTTTTCCCCCCAAATGTACAATCTTTGAGCCAACTTGCTCTGCTTTGACCGAAGCGGCTGCCGCTCCCAACCTTTTCGCTCGGTTTTCTTAGTCCCTCACATTAGACTTTGGTGTTTTGCTAGAAAATCGTGATTTTCACCTCGATTTGCTAACGCTCAGAGAGGAGCGAGGCTCAACCAGGTTTTTGTGGCACCAGAAGTTTTTTCCAGACCCCTTTTCAGAGGACTGGCACCTTGGCTGCCATGCCGGAGCTGCTCGCTTGGCACGTGGGCTGCCCTGCAAGGGAATGTGGGCTCTTGGGAAGCGACTCATCTGGATTGACTTGATTGTTAATGAAAAATACAGGGAAAATGAGAACCGAGTGGTTTTCAAACAAACAAAGAAAAGTCTAGAGCATCAACTGCCCTTAATGCTCCTTGAAGGCAAATGTTTAGTAGCAAGAAGGGTCGAACTGGCACTAGATTTTACAGTGTCCTTGTGTGTGAACCACGTTTCTTGTGTGTAATGTACTCTGCAAGAAATTAATTGGTCGTTAGAGGTGTCATCGTTTGGATTTTTTTTTCAATTTGCCTCATAGCTAATCCTAAAACCTGGATATAGATGATTATTGGTACTGTTGTATGCGTAGAATTTATGAACTATTGAGGTTTGTGGAAGAAGTCAGCAGTGCCTCAATTAAGGTTTTGCTTCAAATGCAAAACAACCCATCCTTTACTAGAAGCAGTAATATGCCTCTATAATAGAGCTTCTCATCCCAAAGGATCCGAAAGCACTCAAAAAAAAAAACAAACCCACCACAAAAAAACCTGTGATGATTCACAGAAATGACTTAATCTGCTATTGAAATATAAGCACCTCCTCAAGGATGAAAAGATGCCAACTGTTTAACACAGCACACAGAAAAACAAAACAACTAACCCAACAGCTCTATCTCAGCACAGATCGTATGGGATCTGTAGTAAATGGATAGTTAAGACCTCATTTTTACACCTCATTGCAAGTTGTTGGTTTTACCCTCTTGTTGCACAAATTTCTCCCTAATGCTGAGATTTACTGAATTACCAAATCCCCACTTAATCCAAGTATGCTGCATGTATCTCCTATTTAAACACTGAAGTACCCTCAGAGGGACTCAGAGTACAGTGTAAAATGAGTAGACAAGACTTTCAGGTGTGGTATTTGAAATCTATTTTTAATTAAAATTCTTTTGTCTATTAAATAAAAAATGTGAAAGTCTTGGGAAGTTAAGTGCCACAATAGGGTATGTTTTATAAAGTCAACTTTAGTGGCAGAAGTGAATGAATCCTTATGACTAGTCTATATTTAGTTTTAATTTAAGAAAACATTACGGAGAAATTATTTTCAATGGAAAATTGAACATTTAAGGGGTTTTAAAAATAATAGTAACATTTCCCAAAAGTTACTAAGATACACAAACGTGCATGGCAGACAGTCTCTATACTGCAAGGTTGGACTTCTGGGTTATCAAACTGCTTTCAAAAAATCTCATGCCAATGTGTCATTACTTAATGTTTTTTTTTTTTTTTTTTTGATGTGTTTTATTTGCCTGGTGCCAGTAATTTGTGAACAACTGAAATATTCTAGAATCCATCTAGTTTGTCTTTTTCTATCTAACTTGCCAGGTTCAGGTAGCAGTCAGTGAGCTGCAGTCATTTCAGAAGGGGAAGTTTCTATCTGAATCTCTGTGATGTAGTAGAAAGTCTGTAGAAGAAAGGAAAAAGAGGGAAGATTCAGGACAAAACCAGTCAAATAATGGAATCTGAGATTGCTAGATGCTGGTTTTTAAACTAGGTATGTATATACAGGCCTAGTATTTGCTGCCAGGGTGACCAAGTTCCTTTTTTTGGGGAAGAGAGATTATAAAATGGAAATGGTAGAGGGAAGCCTGCAGATAAAAATGAAGCAGAGTAGGGTGGTGATCTTTTGTACTTTGTGCCCTTACTGGGCTAAGATCTGTCATCTCTCTGCTTTTAATACATAATGTACAAATACAGACACATTTTGGTGGGAGAAAAATATAAATTAACTACATGTGAATATCAAGAATTTTTTATTCCAGTTGAAAATAAGGAGGCAGTGGTGCTTTGTGGGGAATATTAGTATCCTGTACTGGCTGTTTTGGGCTGTCTTTTAATTAGAGTAATGTTTGCTGAGTGAAATTACGCCTTTATTCGAGAGACATTCTGCATACGGAGCCCAACTGCTTCACAGCTTCCCAGGATGGTGATGGTAGGAAATACAGACATCCATCCATCTGTCTGTCCGGGGGGGAATGCTTTTGTGAATAATGAAGTCCTTTATAAGATACAAACCTGATCCATTAGCCTGCAATTGGACAGACATTAACTTTAGGCACAGCTAAAATACGTTATAAAAACTACTGTCAAAACCCAAAACTCTGCACTTTCATTAATGTGGAACTACTGGAAGCAAATCTTCCATAATGGTCTGGTAAATTAATGAATTTGCAAAAAAAAACCCTAAATACAGTAACACAACAGCCATTATACCCATTAGTTTTCAAATCTGCTAATGTGAGTTCGTGCACTGCTAAGAAATTGTAGCAAATATTGAAACGTCGCATTTACAAAGATGTGAAATATTCAGTAATTATGCCTGAAAAGAGGGCACACATTTTTATCCATAAAAGAGGCTTGCAAAAATTGGTTGTTACATCTGAAAGTCGCTTACTACAAACATCTCTCAGGATCCCTCAGAGTGGTCAAAGTGGGTTTTCTGGCACGTCGTTAATTGACAGCAGGATCTGCTAACGTAACGTTTATCCTAAAGTATTGGCTTGATATTTTGTTGTACCTCTGGCCTGCCTCACCTTTCAGATTATTTGAGATATCACTTTAATCCCGTAATCTTTGGGGCTGCTGGATGGCTGGGTCTGTTTGGAATGATTTAATAGATGGAATTCATGGTGTCCGCACCCCCGCTGAAACCAGGAGCCTGGCGATATTCTACGGAACAGAACTAGATAAATGGGGTACTGTATTCTGCGATGCAGTTAATTTTAAGCATGTCTTTAATAGCCAATGAATTGATTCTCTAAAAATTGCATGTCTCCCTTTCCCTGTTGCACAGGCCTGATTGATTTAGCTAATCTAGAGTTTTCTATTCCCGCTAGTAGCTCGGACTAATAATTTTATAGATAGCTGTGATTAAGAATGACAACAACCAAAAGAACTAGATTGATTTTTTTTTTTGGAAGCCTTACTCGGCTCTCGGTGTCCCCAAGGAGAACTGTATGTGCACGTTTGATAAAAGAAGGGTTGAGCGCAGTTGATGGCCAGTTAAATATTTAACGCGGAAGAGTTTATAAAATACTCTTTTGGGTTTGTTTCATTCTTGTTTTGGACAAGGTGTTGACTCAATTTTGGCTTATTTAGGCACTAGTGTTCACAACGTTGTCTCCTGGCAGGCCGTGCTTAATCGGTCAGCATTCGTACCCATTTCCTGGGGAATGGGATCGTGCCATGGGCACAGCCTGGGACACTGGGAACGGAAATCTCCTCGTACCGCGTTTCCTTTCCCTGCACTCCGTACATCTGTAATTCCGCTGCCCGTTGCTCAGCTCCGTAGTGTTTTCTGGAAGACGAGGCTGAAATCTGCAGCTGTGAAATACGATGGAAGCTGCAGGATTTTTGGATGCTTTAGGAAACTAAACTGAGATGGAGTTTCTCAGTTTGTGTGGGTACTGCAGAGTTTATGGCTCCCTCTGTCAGGGGGCTAATAAAAGCTTTGAATTTGAATTTTAGTTGCAGATGCCAATTAAATACAGATAATAGAGTTAAACTTTTTGTCTATAGTTAGTCTAAACAAACGCTGACTGCATGCAATGATTTGCCAAGCTAAATATTGAAGTAATCACGTAGCTTATTTTTCACTTTTAGCCTTGATTTGTTTATAAACTTCTGGCTGATTACCCTTAAGCAGTGTTCTCTTATGTCTGAATATGGAAATAAACTATTAAATAATAATAATAAAAAAGCGATACACAGAGAAGCCTTAAGTTAGTAGAAAATTTTCAGGCTAAGTTATGGAAACCACCTTCTTTATTTAATTTCAGGCTCTCCATAGCACGTTTCATTCCATTAAATAAATCCTTCCCTTTCAGTTGTCCCTTTATTGATGTTCCCCTAAAGCTTAGGTATGTAAGTCAGTCTTTGCAGGACCTCTACTCTTAATCCAAAACTTGCAAAGTCACTGTAAGGTAAATTACAGTGTTGAATTCCCAGACTGACCTGTTAATGAAGGAAAAGGAGATTTGTAGCTTACCTTATAATCTAAATTTTATTTCTGTCACTTTTATGATACAGAAGTCTACTCAAAGACTAAACATGTTAATAAGCAGAGTGGAGTTGAACATTCCAAGTTCCAAATGGAGAGGAAAACATGGATTTCAGTCTCTATTTTCAGACCAAATGCAGGCTTTAGGGCTGTAGCTGTACATTTCTGTGCACGTTTTAAGAGCACAAAGGTGTTTGTGCATGTATGTAAGAGCTTAAAGGAAAAAGAATGCAAGGGATTGCAAATAATTGGGCTTTACCATGCGAAGGAAGGCTTGTTAGTGATCTGCAACATCTGTAGGCTTCTGAATATATGGAGGCTATACTTTCTCACAAGAAATTCCCCGTCTCATATGCTGGTTTTATATACGTCCAAATATTATCATAAAATGCAGTAACACATATTTGTTTTTTTCAAAAACTATTTGATGTTTGTAAGTCATCTTGTAAGCTTATATGTAGACTACGATATGCTTCTGTCGATAAAAATACTCTTGAAAGTAACTTGGATTTACTTCCTACAAATACAAGATGGAACCTTATTCTATGTTAATTTTTAAATATACCATCATGTAAAACAGTGATAGCAACCTGAAGATATTTTACATGCCATCTAAATGTTTGTCTTA